CTCGAGAAAGGGAAGCGCTGGCTTTCGTTTTGCAGCTTCTCAGGTAGCATGTTGCTATACCTCTTACACACCTATACAAGTTCAAAGCACGAATGAGACTTCAAGGCTGTGGCTTGCTGTGCGTGTGTAGAGGTTCTCAAGCGGTTGACGGAAAGGGAACTTGAAGTACTATACCTGGTAGCTGCACTATAGCTACCCTAGGTCTCTCTACCTTGCAAGGTGCCAACTACACCTTTCCATTCAGATGATGCAAATGATGCATTTGGCATTTCTTGCATCACCACCCCTCAAAAATCACCTCCAACACAACCTCAAAAAACCTTCCCTCGGAGCACCCTCCTCCCCCAGCATGTGCTGAGTTGACGTGTCCCTTTCTCGGGCCACCCCCCCAGACCCCCTAACTACTCACTTCGTTCGCCAGACACAACTCCGCTAGCGCCTTCTACGAAGGCTGGCTTTCGTAATTTTTGGCTTCTCATCATCTACAAAAAAAGCTTCAAAATGATTGGCAGTTGTGCTATGAAGCCGGCAGCCAACAGTTGCGCGTTACCAAAAAGAGACACCCGCGAACGAACAGGATAAAGGCATGCACTATTATTCTATGGAGATTCCACGGACAAAACCAACGAACAAAAAGAACAACGCCACCTTAAAATATCCCACGCATCAATCTGAAGGCTTGGAAAGCTTCATTCATGTGCTCAGCGAGTCATCAAGCTGCTAGCTGGGACATCATTTGCTGATGCAGTTTCTGGATAGAGCCATACGGTCCCCTGAAAAGCGGGATCCAACACCATGTATTTCCCACTTCCTGGTGGGAGATAAAACAATAAAGCCCCCTATCTCAGCTTGATACATATGAGCTTGTTGGGGACCTCAAAATTGCTGTGATCTCCAGTGATATTCAGAGTGAAAGAACATGCATGCATCTGAGGCAAAATCCTAGGTGAAGAGAGCCAGTAGACCCAAGAACAAAACACTTCTATATCGGATTTCCATGTCGGGGTGGTGATCTGTGGCGGTGGAGTGCACAGAAGACCACTCACATTGGATCAAAATTTCCCACCATCCTCCAACCATGCAAAGGCCTGATTGGTCGCCCCACTCCAACCTACCAGACGGACGTGCCCCGCGGAGCCAAGTGTGCAGCGCCCAAGGAGAAACACAGCATGGCTGTGTGGACATGCACATCTCCTACCATACCAGGATGCGATGTTGAACTCAGCTTCAACAAGTGATGTACACTCCCTGAAAGTCTCTACAAAGCAGGGCAGGGGATTGTCCACTTCCATGTTTGTCTGTTGGAGCAGTGTACACTTCCGTGTTTCTTGCTGATCAAAGCCAAGCCCGAAGAGACCCATCACACAAAGCGGCAAAGAGACCCGATTGGTCGATTGTAACAGACGTGGTCAATGCAATTTCTGCTCTGCAAGGTAGTCGTTTCATGTGTATGTCTTTTAAGATTCATGATTATTGCAAATGTTGTTGTGTCATTTTGTCACAGCAGCAGTGTAACATCTGTTTGTTCGCTTCACTTTTAGTTTCCCATACTGCTTCTTCCTGCCCCCCCAAAACGAGGACGAAAACGATGTCTGCGCCTCCGAAGACGATGGCATCATCCTCGGACAACGACAAGCTGTGGGAGAAGCGCCCCACCGGCGGTGTGCCATGCGTCCGAAGCATGGACCTCAGCAAACGCTGCACTGGCACCTGTTTTTTCAGGGAACGGCAAGGTCCTGCATGTCTGGCGAATGTTGGAGATCCGTTACCGGCAACCCCAAAAATAGATAGAAGAAGTAGTAACTTGCCTTTCAAACAGCGAATTTCTTTCGTTCTATATATCTGAGGATAAGAAGCCTAGATCCAGCAATCTCTCAGTTTAGCAAAGACCTGTATGACCACAAGCTCAGCCAATTATCATTGAGTAGGTTCTCAGGATGGGACTTACAAACTTTGGCAAATTTGGAGGCTCTCATGCTTAGTGTCGGTTGCCCGTCCACCTTCCACAAACAACTAGGAACCTCCACGCGTTCGACTGGTCGTCGAACCACCCGTTCCGCTCCCGTTTCCACCCCAGTGGCCACAGCATGCGGCCCAAATCAAGGACTCGGACCTCAACCGTCAGCGTCGATGGACCCGCCGGTCGTCCGTCGACGCGTGGTGCCTGGGGGGTTCGTCCAAAGGGTCACACGAGACTCGCTGTTTTGGATGCCAGATCCGTTGGGACCGACGTCGGATCGTGTCCTTCTTTCTTTCGGATCGTATCCTTTTTTCTTCCAGATCAGCATGGAATGGTTCGGTAGAATTGGAGACCCATCTGTTTTTTTGTCTTGTTTAGAGCTCTGATCGGTGATCCACAAGCACCTCGACCTTTCAAGACATGCGGAACGGGTGGAAAGAGTGGCCCATCACCGCGAAAAAGAAGCAACACAGGTCGGAGAATGCTATTCGCCATTGAGTGACACACGAGAGTTGTGCTGATCAATCCCTTAGTGGCAAACGTCATTGCAGTACGAATTCTTGAGCAAGTCTCCGCTATTGTCCTGGGCAAGACTTAAGACGAAACACACCAAACGCCGTCATCAACAGTGCAAGATTGCTATGAAATCAAACTCCAATCAATTGAAATGACATACCTCCTACCTTAGGGGGGGGTCAACTATCCTCTACCACAGATTAATTAGGAGAATTAATCACTACCCCTGCAGTAAATATTCTGAAATTAATCCAAGACTTGACGAGTGCAAGTTAATTTTGATTAACTTAATTAAGCCACTATGCTTGAGTCTCATGACAAAACTCAGAGAAACTAATTTGCAGGGCCTGGAGCTACCTTTCTAGTAATTAATTCTAGGCATTTGAGTCTAACATTCTAATTTTCCTTAGTTGTTTCCTTAGTTTTTCTGGTCTGACCAGGATTTTAAACAAATCCTTTAACAAGAACCCAGATGGTGGAGACAGGGTGTTGTTTTTCAAAGTATTGTTGTTTTTTTTTCCTGAACATCACCTGGATAAACGTCATTGTTCCAGCCCTGCTGGAACATACGATTTCTCTAAATAAAACTCCTAGCTGGCTAAAGCCAGCAGGCTCTAGCCCTGGAATCTAATCCAGCTGGTACAACCGGTGATCTTCAAGTATTGACAAAGGAAAAAACGCATCTGAACCTAACAAGCAAAGCACTGACGACACAAGTCCAAAATAAACTCAGCGGTAGTCTAGTTCTCTCCCACTCTTCAGTTTCAGCTCCCTCATTGCTAATTAATCGACCCCCTCATGAGCTAATTAATCCTATCAAGATCTTTTTCTAGTTAAGTTCACATGGATTTTTATAGAACCCCCCCCAATCTCCCCAACATATAGACAATTAATCCAAATAAAATAATTTTCAAACTGAGGGGGGCCCTTGGGTTAATTTCCTAAGGCAGCAAGTATGAAATGACACTTGACATGACTTGCAACCGAGTGCACACGGGATTTTGTTGGAAAACTCTTTGGAACTCGCCCCGGTGAGATCAGTCCGTCCTTGGTGGCAATCTCGGGCGTCTCCATGCAGAAGCCGCCGTGGATCAGCAGCGACCTGTGCCGCTCGCTGATACCCAGGTCATCCAGCATGTGGATCTGGTTGCTCAAATAGGGAGACCCTCCAGACCTGGAAGGAACATGGACCCCCCTGTGTTTCAATAGACACCCAGCTGTACAAGATCTTGGCAAGCTGCAGAAGGGGTATGCCTGTTGGAGTCGGATGTAGTTTCCATGACCGACTGGGCGACCGCGAGTTAGTGCAAACTCTCAAGCAAGTGAATACCCTGGGTTCTTGTCCTCCGGTAAGTTGGTGCATAGGTGGATCCAACTGCAAGGCACCAATCTTTGTGGTTGCCTTTCATACAGTATCCTTTAATGCTGTAATATATGAGCATGCAAACATCTAGATAAGGAGCCTCATCCGTTTCGTTTTGGGAAGACGGGAAGTTCGACGGGAAGTTGTGCGGTCCCGGTCCGCTCGCCACTGAGAAAGGTCGTTAGATGAATTCCTTGTCACTTGTCTCATTGGAAGCCCCGTCAGCTCGGAGTGACCCTCATCAGCAAAACATCGGTCGGTCTCCGGCTGGACTCGGCTGACGATCAACGCACTCATGGCGCGATCAATGAAACTCCGGGTTGGTGGTCTGCGATTTGGACCCCTTCGGACAAACCTGGGCTGGTTTGCGAGAATGAAGTAAGTATGAAGCCAGTAATCATGTGACATGACCGACCTCATGACACACTACATGACATGCACACTACATGACCGACCTCCCCTCTCCACCTCACATCCACCGGGAACCCGGCTCGCCAATCAGCAAGGCTGTATGTCCACACCGCGGTGTTGGCTTGGGCCCTGCGGAACGTGATTCGTGAAGGTGGTCAAGGAATGTCCGATTCAAACCATGACATGAAATAACATCCAATGGTCAAGGGTTCTCTTCTCTAATGGGATGACCAAATGGATTTTGGATACCATCCATGGTTGAAATACTGTAGCTCATCCAATGTATAGGCCCCTCATGGCCCCTCCATGGCCCCTCTATGAGCCTGAAGCCCAAGCTTCGACACACTGCGCGGTTGTTGGAGTCAATCGCAGCTCTTCTTGCGCTCACTCAGACTGGTTAGAAAATGCAATCTATAAAGAGGTACCCCAGGCATCATGGTAATGGTATTGGCACAATTTGAAGGCCAGGTCAACAGTGCATGTCATCAAGTGCGGGGCACTCGAAACGTGTGGAGCGGCTTATACCAACCTTCCGCACAAATGAGAGACCTTACTCCGCCTTGCACCTCCAACTCTGGGGAGCCACCCTCTATCTGAAGAGATGACTCACTGACAAAGACGATAAAAGACCCGGTGACATCTCAGGGTAGGTCCCAGCAAATCCCAGCTGCTCGCCCAGGTGGTCCCACCTCCAACAGGTCCACATTCCATCCCCATTCTTTCGGACCTTCCTCTTCTCCAGGTAACCAAAGCCTCACCTTTCTCGGCCCCGGTTCCCCAGTCCTGTGGCCGGCGGACATGACCAAGCCATTGATGCCAAGTCAAGACCTGCGAAACGAGTGGAAATCGATGGACTCACAAGCGAACATCAACATGGTGGATGTGCAAAAGCAACCTCTACAGGGTTTATCATGGTTGTCATGTGTACTGCCACGTACTGCTGTCTTGGGAAGTCGGGATGTCATGCAGCGTGTCTTCGGACTCAGCTCCAAGCAATGGAGGTCTCCAAAGTACCTCCAATGGGCCGCGGCTTAGTAAGCACGAGAGGTGTTCAATGGTTTACTGGTCCAGGTAATCGGTTTAGTATCGTTTTTGTTGGCCTTTTTCCCACGGACAGGTCTAGGAGACACGGACAGTATCTCTTCATATCTCTTCATTCTTGGTCTCGTTTGTGTGAAATAACAACAGGCACATGACTTTGCCCAGGATGCTTCACTTGGCGGCCCCCAGGGGTCACTTTCCACTACATGTGCCGCCGAAGACGTAGAGCCGGGTACCATGGAGGTTCGCCGTGTGCCCTGCAGGGCGAACCGGACGTGGAGCAGGGCGTGCGATGGCGTGCGGTAGAGAAAACATGGGACATGTTCACCGAATCCAGCGAGGCGAGAAGCGAACATCTGGGTGATATGCACTACAGAATTACATCTCAAACGTTGAATTGGTGATTGATTTGTACTCAGCAAATGTACTCATCAAAAGGTCATCTGGATGGAAAGCAGTGAACAACCATGCCGCTGCAGCTGAAAATTAAATCTGCCGAAGATCCATCGCCATTCCACATCTATCGGCAGAAACGCATACTGATGTGCTAATGCAAACAGCTTACCTTTTGGGAGGAAAACCATGGGCTGAAGCTCCTCTGCATGAAGAACAGAAGCACTTTCGGGCTGGTCAGAATACCCTTCTTTGGCTTTAGTGGACATCCAACCCGGTGGGTCTTGGCATGTAATCGGACATTCTGCCCGAAACTGATCAATTCAACCACAGACATTATGTTCTTGTGAAAACCGGCACATGTTATATATGTACTGTATATATATATATATAAAGTGATTGTGCTGCAGCAGCTGTCCATATGATGTCAGGTTAATTTTCTGGGCATCATGTATACTGTATTTCACGGACGGTACCTTCCCTGGTCCCTAGAACTATTCATAAACATCCCATGTTCTAGGCAGTGGTGGTGGTAGTGGTTGTGGTGGTTGTGTGGTGGTGGTGGTGGTGGAGGAGTGGTGGTGGCAAAGTGGTAGTATTGGATGTGGTGGTAGTAGCAGTCTGATGCAGTGGTGGTGGTGGTGGTGGTGGAGTAGCGGTATTGGTGATGTGGTGGGTGGTAGTAGCAGTCTGATAGTGGTAGTTGTTGTGGTGGTTGTGTGGTGGTGGTGGAGTGGTGGTGATGATATATGGTGGTGGCAGTGTGATGTTGAATCGACCATTCTGCAGCAAAGTGGGGGTATACTGGTGATGTGGTGGTGTTTGTGGTGGTTTGGTAGTGGTGATGTGAGTGGTGGTAGTGGTAGTGGTGAGGTTTCCTTGTGCAATTGATTGCCATATATGTTCATTTCTCTTTCTATTTGGTAGATTGCAGTTGTATATATATAATATATATATATGTGCACCTTCTGTCCTCAGGTTGTTTGTAGATACTTTCGGCAATCCCTTTATAGTATTAAGAAGAGTACTAAGAAGGTTCTCAGGTTGTCAGCAGTTTTGAAGAAGAACTGTGTTAAACTATATTGCCAATAATTCAAGCAAGCCAGCCATTGGCTTTCTAGTATTAAGACCTCAAGGGCTGAGGAAAGACTTTTTCGCCATTGAGGACCCTCAAAGCAACATAATTGTTGAAGTTCAGTAGCCATCCTGGTCTACCAAATTGAAAATTGCTCAGGAGCAATCTTCGCATGAAGGATTGTTAAGGGATTGGTGGCTTTGGGAGGCTGTCAGTTTTGAAGAAGAACTAGGGCAGCCTTTCTACCAGCAAGCAAGCCATTGGCTTAGTAGTATCAAGATTCCAGGAATGATTTTTGTTTGGAAACATCATACTTGAGCATCCTCAAGGCAAAGTAATTTTTAAGGGCCAGGGGCCTTCCTGGTCTACTACATTGAAGATTGTTTAGGCGCAACCTTCACAGAAAGGGTTGATTAAGGGATTGCTATCAATTTTGAAGAAGAGCTAGAGATGCCTACAATACACTCAGCAAGCCAGCCATTGACTTAGTAACTTAGTAGTATGATTTCAGGAGAGGCCCTTCTATTTGTGAAAAATAAGAATTGATGATCTTGAAAGCAAGACATTGAGGACCAAGGGCCTTTCTGGCCTACTACCTTGCATTTGTTTAAATAGGGGCAACTCACACATAGGATTGATTGAGGAAGGAGTTGATGGCTTTGGGAAGCTGTCAGCTTTGAAGAAGAACTTGAACACCTTTTTTTTTTGCAATTTGTTGACAGCCTGGAGAAGACCAAAGTGGAGCAATCAGAACTGGAAACTGGTGAGCCTGGAGCAAGCAGAGCTCATTGTGGGCCAGGAGAAGGCGAAGGTGAAACAAAGCCGTTTACTACTGGGCCTGGACAAGGCCAAGGTGCAGTAACATCCCCTTACTTTAGCTTCCCCTTCTCCAGGCCCACAAATCTGATTATATATTGAGTTTTGCCTTCATCAGGCTCACCTGTTTCCAGTTTTGACTGCTCCACCCTGGGCTTCCCCAGGCTCTGCCACAAAAGTGCCCCACAAGAATGCACCACAAGATTGTGCCACAGGAGTGTCCCACAAAACTGTGCCACAAGAGTGCAGCACAAGACTCTTTTGTGAGAGACACTCCTGTGGGAAACTTTGGTGGCACAGCCTTGTGGGGCAGTCTTGTGGCACAGTATTGTGGCACAGCCTTTTGGGAAACTCTTGTGGCACAGTGTTGTGGCACAGCCTTTGGGGCACTCTTGTGGGACACTCTTGTGGGGCATGCTTGTGGGGCACTATTGTCGCACAGTCTTGTGCACATGTTCCCACAGCTAGTGGCAAGTTGGACAACAAACAACAAAACGGTACACGGATGACAACCCTCATGCTGCTATGAGTTGGTTTGCAATTGGTGGTGCAGTCCCGTGCTTTTTATTCGCAGTGACCAGCAGTGATTTCTTCAAGTCTCTATGAGTTCCAGTAGAAATCCGGAAGTGACCCCCCCAAAATTAGCAATGCCAGAAGAAATGTCTCTATCATCCCCTATCCATCTTTCCATCCCAAAACCTCCTGCGGGCTCCCCCACCGTGGCGCGCGGATGGGGCACCACCCGAGCTGGGGCCTTGAAACCTCGGAGGTGGCCGTGGAGGCCCGAGGAGCCTGGTGACCAACGAGTGACCAGTCCGAGCCCACTGCTGCCCAGTGATCCTGATCTGGTGTTTTACTTGTCCAGGCCCATCTCTGCGAACAGAGGTCCAACAATGGGTTAGATGGAGGCCTCCTAGAGGTTTAGATGGAAACCAAGAAACATGCAGCTTTCAGGTGAACTCAATGTATTTCAGGGAATCTCAACATTATTTGCTTGGGCTTTTCCCATCCGTCAGGAAGGACCATGACCTCAACGATGAGGCCCCCACGCATTGTAAAGAACACATGGTAGGGTCGGTGTGTACAACAGGAAAATAAGGGTTATATAATATATAAGTTGTCTTCATGTTTTTTTCCACGTATTTAGATAGTGGGGAAATGACTCCCCAAGAAAGGTTATGACAGGTTAAAGGTTCTCCACTGACTGAGTAGGTGAATGTGCACTACCTCAGGGAGTATGGATGTGACTTGAACAAAGAACCGATGAGTGGTCGGATGAACATCCTCATTGGAAAAAATAAGTCTGCGGTCTATTGGAGACAAATCACCTCCCATGGCAACGATTGACAATTCAAAACTAGTCCAAAATCATTCTTGATGTTGTGGCTCGGAGGCCTTTGGGACGAACCACACCCAGCGGACCACACTGGACGAATACGTTCTCTGGTGTGCCCAGGGCAGAATCCTTTGGTCGGAAGGGCATGGGGATGCCGATGCTCGGACCCAAAGCGCTCAGCAGCGCTGCCTTCAGGTGACCAACCTGTTCCTTCGCACGTTCCAGGGCCCAACACCCGTCTGCTCTCCAAGGAGCCACGTGTAGGTGCTAGTATCCAGAGCATGCAAGTCTCGAAAGCAGCTAGTCTTGCCTTTGCCACCAAAGTAGACCTCAAGGTCTTCTTCAGTTCCCCTGGGACCTGACCACAAAACCAGCGAAGGTCCCCTTGAGAGGAAGAGAAAAAACTTGGCCAGCTTGGTTTCTATGGCTTTCATGACTTTCATGGGCCGCCTCTGTCTCTTGATCATTTTGAACACCACCCGGAGAAGGCCAAGGGTCCAAAGAAATTATGTATAATTACTATAAATATAAGGGTAACAAGTCGTGATCCTTACTTGTGGCGGGAAAATCTGAGGCGCTCGTCTCACCCAAGCCAGAAATTTAGATAGTGAATCTGGGGCCTGTGATGCATTGGGGTCTGTCGCTCAATGAGGTGACCTTGAAGAGGGACGACCTTTCAGGGCAGGTTGAAAATCTTTCGAAGGGTTCAATGTGTTACCCCTTCCGGGGTGCCTCCTAAACTATCTAAACTATCAAGGGCTGAGTTGAAGATGGTCGGTCTGGTTGCAGTTTCTGGCCATCTGTTAGGTCGCAAAAATGCACCCTATAGAGCTGATAGGCAAGGCTTGCCTTAATCGCTTGTTCTGATCGCTCAATCGCATATTCTAAGCGCTTAATCGCTTGGCGAGGTTACGAGACCACTCTGAGTACACAATGAACGCTTGCGAGGGGATGCTGGAAAGAAATATTCAATGTTCTTGAGTCGCGGCTCCCCCGAGTCCACATTAAAAAGATCATGAATCATTGATGACAAATTCATCCTGTTTTCCATGTGACAGATGGAGTACAGCACCAAATAAATACGCAGCCTGTCGCGATGAACATGCTTGTGCAAAAAACTGCTATGATCGATCTGTTTCTAATTCCGTGCTGTATCTGCTTATTATACACTGTAAGGTAGACTCTTGATGAAAAAACGCACCCCATTTGGATTGAACATGATTGAACCACCTCTTCATGTCGGGGGGCTTATTAATCAATAATCTACATTCTACATCAATCTAATTCAACATTAATCGGATTAACGAAGGCGGTGAAGGCATCTCCATGGCAAGAGAAAAACAAAAGAACGTGGGCAAGGCGGTAGACTAGTCCCGACTTGCTCTGCATCTACATTCACTGTATCAAAGAAAACAAAGCAGTCTTGACGGTTTTCATCTACTTCTGCCCACCTCTCGTGTGATTCCTAATGATCCTAATGTGCCAATGTTCCTGGTCCGGGTGGCGGGACCAAAGCCCAGACCGGTGCCCGCACCCTTCGGCCAGCTGTCTACACCCGAACTGCTGGGCCCTCCGCACGACCCGGCCGCCCACCAGCGCCGCCGCATGGCCATAGCGGGGCTCCGGAGCGGTGCCACGACAACGCCTGAGTGCCAGGCGGTTGGTCAGGCGAATTCGTTGCTAACTGGGGTAGAGGAGGGGGGTCGTAATAATTGGATACATGGGTCATCATGAACTTTGCGACAGTTGTGAGGGGCATAATGGGAGACAAGGGCAAAGAAGGCTTGGTGGGTTGTGCTAGGATCTCCTCAGGCGAGTTTGGCAACTGCATTTTCGTTTGTTGTGTCCTTCTCCCCAAGAATCTGTAGTGATCATGTCGTGATCCCCAAGTGTCGAACGAATTGATCCTAGAGAACCATTGGCGTCTTTAATTTAGTTTAATTCAATTCTAATAGCGAGCCTTGTTACTACTAGTAAGGCACTTGTTTCTAATAGCTTTTTGTTACTATACTACTATTGAAGGGAAAATCCCTACAATCCTGAACCACGATTTTGACTCTCCTGTTGGCAACATTGAACCTGTGTCTTACTCTAAAGGACTCTTCCCACTGATTTCAGTGACTTGCGGGGCCCCACGAGTCCAACCGCTCAGTTCAACGGCCGCAACATATGCCTCTAGAGACCTCAACAGCTCAACAGATGAGCTGAGAGTACTTAATCCCAATGCGAACTCAAAACAGCCAAACAACATGTCTTTGGGAGGGTCTTGCAAGAACCTAGAAGCGGGGAAACCAACCAGTACCAGCAACTTTGAAATTACTTTTGGGAAACTGGATTGGGGTACAACAGAGCACGAAAGCGTTGAACAGCCCACGAAGCAAATCATGTACTTTACTTCGCGTCCATTCCATGACGACTAATCTGTGTTGCCTCAGGCGAATCAATTCAATTGGCCGATATACAGAACATCCCCAAACCCTCCGTTCCCTTTTGGCAAGGAACGGCACAGTCCAGGTGTTTTCATCGATGTCCAAGATATGCGTGTCATTCAGGTAAACAAATCCAGCCTGAAGCGTTGCGGGGCCATATTTCACTTCACGACGGTAGAGTTCTAGATACAATAACTGTGACACCTAATCAATCAATCTCCTCAGCCTGCGGATATCTTAGGTACGTCAGTAGGTCAACACCCGGGCACCCTGGGTTGACCAAAGAAAAATGAACAGAATGGACTTCCTGGGGAGTCAACCTACCCTGAAGGGGCATCCGCTTTTCACCCACAGCCATATGTCAGCCAGCATTCCTTTCAATCGAAAGCAACCAACTCGGGCCCATGGAGTCCTGTCCCGGAGGATGAGACCGGTGCTGAGATCGGGCCACCGAGAAGTTCTAGATCTGATTTTGCTAGAGGGGAATCACCTACAAGAACTATACCATATTGGACACACATTAGCATCATGTCCTGGAGGAGGTCTTCATTGCCTCCATGAGTTGAATTTGAGCACCCCAAAGTAGCCAAGCCAAAGATCCCAAATGGGCAAATGGGATGTTCTCCAACAGCGTCCTGGTGGTATATAAACTGCTAAGACCGATGATTTCTTTGGAGCAGTGCTTGTGTAAAAGAGAAATAGGAATATTCTGTTATATAATTCTAATCAAACGCAACACGCAAAGACAAACACGCTACAGGACACACACACACACAAGTAGCAATGCGGGGACTGACACGTTTCTTTCTAAGTCATCCAAGTGGGCTGTTCGGAAGCACTGTGGAAAAAGAAAGCACTCTTCAGACTCTTCAGCGGGGAAAACACCCGACTTCTAAGACTTAAATACGAGCTGAGTCTGCGTGGTGATCCCGAAGCAACCAACGACTGGTCATGATGACTGATGCCACTTGTGGCAGACTTGCTTAATGGCCTGGGAACCAATACCGACCACGCAGTTTTCGTTCCCTCTCAGTCTGTCTCAGTTAAAGAAGGTTCTTGTGCACATCCACCAGGCCACGCCGGAGCCGCCATCATAATGCCCTCCGAAGATCACGATCCGGGCCTCGGGGCGCTGTGGCCGGTGAGGGATCTGAATCGGGGGTAGCTGACGTATAGCTTCTTGTTACTACTAGCTTATAAAGGGCCCGCTCGTAAAGTAGGTGTCTGCACCAGTCGAGTTCAATGATCGGGAGTCGACAAGAGAATCTTCAGAAAGGAAACAATCTCCGTTCTTTTGCGACGCATGAGTGTTTGGGCGTAAGGCGTAAGACTCTTACCAAAGGTACTGACCTTTGCAAAAGGGCGTACAAGGGCAATGGTACCAGCAGTCTTCCCATGGCCATCCGGTCTTTTGAAACAAACTCGTCTACATAATTACAGTAGTTATATACATCTTCCATCATTCCGAATCATTCCAGAAACATGACCACTGCCTACCTTGACCTTCATCCTCTTCAGCTTCCGCCCCGCTGCAGCCGCCGGGCTGAAGGCTTTTGTGGATCGGTGGGCCCCACCAACCTCGATTGCAACAACTCCAAGCCGGGATCTCAACCCAGGGGTGGAGAGCGTTTCCAGTTTGCGTCGTTTCATCCCTGAAAATCGTATGTATATTGATGATATGGTATGTATCAAGCCGCCATGAAGCACGTTGGATGATGCTGGATGCTGTCCCGAGGCCTCCGCAAAAAGAGTTGCGTGTCAGAATAAATCAATCAAACTGGACTGAACAAAATTCTGCCAGCAGTTTGCCGTCTATCTTCAAGACCTCTGCAAAAGAGCTGCCAAAATTTTTGTCAAGTTGGAAACATTTTTGTGTACGCTGGGGTCTGTCACCATGAGCAAGACGCCACGCACACACTGATTCAAAACTCACACACATGCTCTCTAGGATGCTTGAGTCCTTATTGTTCCATCTTCTTTTGTTGCTTTGCGTTCAAAGAAATACTCTCTGCCTTGGGCCGTGAGCTTTGGGGTCCAAAAGCCTAGCTCCGAGACAAACAGCTCCGGTCGACACGCTGGGACCAGCCACACAGCTCGTTCCTCCGGTCGACGCGGAGACCAGGCGCCCCGAACGTGGCGGTGTGGCCGCCACGGGCGCAAGGCCCTTCGCCTGGACGGAGGGCCGTGTGGGCTTCCGTTCGGTGTGGGCTCTGGGGAGAGCTGGAGATCTTGGGTGAAATCACCATAGGAAATGGATGATAATAATAGATTTTGTACGTGAGAGATCTTCATCGACACAAAAGGAGAATGGGGTTGTCCCAATGAGGAAAACTCTACATGATGCATCACGATGATTCAGGATGCTATGCTGTACCTGCCTTGAAGGCATTTCTCTTTGAAATCAGCAACCTTGCTTGCATCTGCTTTTGCCCAACCCGAGAAGAAAGAAGTTTGCATGCAAAACCGCCGAGTTGGGGGTTCAACACAAGCCAACGGATCGTAGGAATGAGTTATATATATAATATAGAGATACTGGCAAATTAGCATTCTTTGCAAAAGCTATAAACCGTATGATCTATATACCTTCTTGCAAAAAGCTCTTGAGCACAAAGTACTCACATGATCTCACATGTACAGCGGCCAGGTTTTGTGCAGGTAGTCTTATCTTAACTGGGACGTTCTTTCTGAGAGATCAACAGGCACAGGCGCCTGATAGAAAAGGACCCGCAAAGCTCATCACAGAACCGAACACCTCAAACATCCAACCCTCTATCCCAAATTATCATCCAAATAAGAGGCTACAATTGGCTGCCTTTCTATGTTTCTGGCTCTGCATGTCTCGGGTTCCTTGATTTGACTAGTATATCATCTGCTGAGCTAAGCTTCCCTGGAGTTAACTCTAAAGTTCTAAACAAAGCTTTCCCGCCTTCAACTTGTGGTCTGGCCCATTGCCAAAGCCTGAGAAGGTTCTGAAGATTCTTTGGGCTGAATCAACCATATGTGTCTCATCCTCGGTTATTATCTTACGTAAACCAAACCCTTAAGGTTGTCAAATGCAGGTTACACCGGTCTAATCCGAACGCACAAAACACAGTAATTTGCTCCCGAAAGCCTCAGTTTTGAGGCTTCGTGTACAAATTGGAATTCCAATGCGCTGGACCGCTGGTATTCTGCATGGCCACCATCGACGCCTTCGTTCCAAACCAACGGACTTCTGGTCAAAAACAGGGTGGTTCAGACCGGTGAAATGGATTTCTTCAACCGACTTCAGACCCTTTATTTAGATCCTTTGAGGAGGCTTTTCCACACCACGCCGCAGATTTCGGCTTGTGACAGAAACTTCAAGAAACTTCTATGGCCCACACTAAGATCACGTCCAATGCCTCTGTTCTTCTTCCACGCTCAAGCATCTGCATCTCCAACCGGTAGACCTTTACAGAATTTACAAACCTCTAGGGTCTACAGGAGAAACTCTGGTGTGCTGACCTGCATGTTACCTTCCTCCAATCTACATTTGAGGTTTCCAGTTTCAAGAGCCCACTGTGACAAACCAATGTCGAACACTCAGCGCGATTCGAGCAGATGGGAACCGACAGAAAGCGATGAACCGCTGCTGGGTCTGGGTCCCCTGGCCGCTCCTTGACCGCGATCGGCTCCTGCCAGGTGTGTTCAGTGCGATGAGCCCGGTCCAATTGAACAGGTGATGAAGCCAAAAGGCGGCAAAACCTGCGCAACTTTGCTTCGACAACCCCAATCATCCAGTCTAAGTGATGCGACAGAAACCCAACAACAAACAGACATGGTTGGACTCCAAAGGAACCAGGCCACTTCTTGACTTGGTTCAAAAGGTTTAGATCCTATCACAGCTGGCTCGGAACAGTAAGGCCTCTGGGTCAGTGTCGAGTCAAGTTAGGGATGATCAAAATGCCAACACCTGGGCCTGGGACACCAATTTATATGGAAGGCTCCAAGCTGAACTTTCAGTAAAACACAGGGGGTACCGGGGAATACGATTTTTTCTGGGACACGATCGACCAAATTATGGGACCCTTGTCGACGGACCCACCTCCACCGGTTTTCACCATTCCAACAAGACTTGCGCGACGGAAAGAACCGCTGCCATGGGGCCAGCCAGGGAGGACACATGGGGGAAACTGCTTGTGACAGTGATCTCATCTATTAGCCTTATGCTATTAGGTTGGAGGCCATGATTGATTTTACATTGATTTGCCTGAGAATTCCCTTGCTCTGGGTTGGCCATGGCGCCATCATGGCGATGCGCGCTTTTCTTCCCTCCGATCTGCCTTGGGTTCGACCGCATCGTCCCTCAGCAACTTCGAAAGGATACAGGTGGCCGGATCTCCTTGGCTCATCGGTCGCACAACAGTTATATGCACCGTTACCGTTGTTGAATGGAGCGATCCAAGAAAACTGCCCTCATCATTGATCCACCGGATTCCGCTTCAATCAAATGGGGTTCTAGCGATGGAGTGGCATATAAAAGCAAAGGAATGATGAGAAATGAATCAACTGCTTGCTACACCGCTTACCAGACCGAACTGGGATTCGACTGGGAACAATAGAATGGGACTTGTTCTCAGACACACTTATCAATTACAGTGAATGTTCTGAACTGGACATCACGCGCAAGAAGGCAACATATGCTATGATTTGGGCTGGCTATCCACAACACGTTTCTATTTCTACTGGTACAAGTAGCAAAGAATTCTTGACAGACATTTCCAGGCTCTGCGACTTGAAACTTGGGCTTTGACAAATGAACTCTTCTCAACTCCAAGGGTTTCAACTTTGCGCCCTAATCGCCCTTGTTTGTATGGACATGATGAGACGAACCAAGGAAGACAATCGAAACCAGCGCGATGCAAAGACTGTTGCTGAACTGCACACAACAGTTAATATACAAACAAAAAACAACAAACGCCCTTTGATGCAGCTTCTCCCTCTGTTCCTAGTCGCAGGGTCTCCCCATTACATACGCAGCGTGGGTAGAACAAAAATATTTGACATTCCATGACATTCCACAATGTGCCACCTTGGCTTGGAGAACACCGCCAGCACTATAACTCGCTCGAACAAACCAACAAATCTTTGAGAAAGTTCGACCCCACAGACTCCGGTCACAAGCGATTCAGTTGAGGCTGAGGAGCTGTTGGGCACTTCAGGCGGTTGGGGTGGGCGCACCTCAACGAGCAAATGCGCCCTCTGCCCAGTCATCCGTTTGGCACGTTTTGGATCGTTTTGGACATCAAAACTACCTCTGCCGCAAAATCAAAGAGATCCCATTTATCCTCAAAAATGAACACTTCTATCTATATGCACTTAGTATATCGACAATCCTTCTGGTGGTTCAACTACCAGGATCTGCTCGACTGGTCACCAAAGTACATATGGTTGAAGCCAACACAAACAGATATGCATCTAGCGGGTACAACCCAGCATATCTTTGATCGTAAAGACCCTATACTTTGGATAGTTGGTGATTGTACCACTGACATAGGGGTCACATGTATATACATGTCACTCCAACACCCGCTTTTCTCTCATCAAGCACAGCACTTCTGGCCAATTGAATCGACCTGAGCCGAAGGGAGAAAACGCGGAGCCACGGTGGGAATCCGGTCAGATCAACCAAACATCGGCAATCAAATAGCATTAAATAGCTATATAAATACCTATGGTATTAAAACGTATCAAATCTGTGGTATACAAAATCGGTGCTTTTTTTTTCACACCCCTTGTGGGGTGTAAAAGGCGTGTTTTCGGCCATACTGAGTCATACTGTTTTCTCTCAAACTTCCAAGCGGAAGTAGACTCCTCACCTGCCGCCGACATATTTGAGACACTCATCTGGTGCGATGGACTGATACTTGGCCATGCTACAAATGGCCATGCCGATCTACGCTCATCTAGAGAGCCCTTGGGTTCGTTGTATCCAAGCACAAATACATATATAAGTGTACATGGTCTACGGCAAAGCGACTCAACCACACACAATACAGTCTATGCAAAACGAAACAAACAAATTACTGCCAATTCGTTGTTGGGCGATGAAAGCGCTGTTCCAACGATTTCTCAATCTACAAGTGCACTCTGCTCATCTGATAACAGTGCAGGTTCATTTTTTGCATTTCAAACCTGTGCAGGTTGATGCCTCTGGAAAGCAAAATCAATCGTAACCAATATTAACCGATCAACCCTTTTCAGATTGGGGAATCCCACTCAATGAAGATGAAACTGTGGTCTTTCCTCCAAAACATGAGTGCAACACACTGAACAGCTTTTTGAATCGTATGTAGAGGAATTGTGTCTATGCACAGAAATAAAGGTACAAACAAATATAAACACACAAACATCACCCCCGTTTCTCGTTTCCAAAAGCTATGGAGGAAGAGAAAACTTTGAGGCCGGCCATGGCAGGGAATGGTTTCACTTGGTGTCCCGACCCACAGGAGGAGACTTCTCTGGTGCTTCTTCAGGCTCAAAGGGCCTTGGCTGCAAAGCTTGTCTGGTAAGGGATGACTCAACCGTGGATTTCTGACACGTGTTAACTCACAGCTTCCTCCAACAAATGGTCGAACAATAAACAGTAAGAGGTAGATTCAGCTCTGTAGTTTTCCGCTTCTCATTGGTATATAAAGTCTGTGAAGCAGTCGTCACAAAATACTCTGACAAAGCCTTGAGTCACTCAATCAAACCAAATGAGGCAATGAATACCACAACATACCACAACCATATTTAAGCATGATTTGCATGATGTTCACCGACCTAATGGCCCCAGGATCCTCAACGAAGGGCGCTTCCGGACCGAGTCTTTCGGTGCCCCGACTCAGCCGCCGTCATGGGCCTGGTGACCGCCGATGATACACTGTACAAATCTGTACAAGTACCTTCCTTTTTGTCATTCGATGCCCTTTGCTCCTAGTAGCTTCTTGTTACCACTAGTAAGGCACCTGTTACTACTAGTAAGGCACTTGTTCCTAGTAGCGTGGCACTTGTTACAAGTACCTTCCTTTTTGTCATTCTTTGCTTTCTGGTTCGCACGAGATTTTCTCACGGAGACTCTTTCAGATGCTCAATTTCAGGTACCAGTTCTGCTGCCTTCTTCGGCCATTAGTAACAAGTGCCACGCTACTAGGAACAAGTGCCTTACTAGTAGTAACAGGTGCCTTACTAGTAGTAACAAGAAGCTACTAGGAGCAAAGGGCATCGCTACGAACGGAGCAAGGACGCTATTAGGGGCTCCCAGACTCGACGTCTCGCCGCACCTCTCGTCCGACGGGGCTCCCGAGCGGAGCCGCGGACCGCTGAGCCAAGAACGGCCGCCGCGGGGACTCACCCACTCCGGATGCCGGATACCGTGGGTGGTCTGGTCACTGAGGTAAAAGGTTCTTTTGAAGATACATACACACATATATATATATAAAATATGTACATTATATTAATACATAATACATACGTAAACAAATGGTATATGTGGACAACTGGACTCCAAAGAGGCACTCCTCTGAAGAAGCTTGGGGGAGTGGTAGATTATCTCTTTGGGGGGAAGCTCTGGTCGTGTATTATTGAGAGAGCTGCAAATGGTGACATGCCCTGATGTGGGAGAGCCTTAAAGTGTCCATCCCAAAGGCAAATTGCTCCCTTATGCTCTCTTCCATCGCAATGTCTGCGGAACCTTTGTCAATGCTGCAGACATCTTCAATTATTCATGTTCTTGTCTTTATTTTTTGTGTGTCAAAGAAGTGGGTGTGAGTCAAGCTCCAAACCCTCTGCCTCTACCCACTGTGGCCACAAGGAAAGAAGGTGGCTCCAGCACAGGATGCATACCAATGGATACCAATGGCTCATATCAGCCTTGCATTTGACAGAAGCTCCCATCAGAACGTCTTCCCTGTTCCCCAGGCAAGGTTGAACTGTATTTTGTGCAATGGGAAAGATCTGGAACACCTGGTAGCTCCTCCCGGCTGCACCGCTTGCGCCCTTCTTTTTCTCCCGCAGCTTCACCTGCAGTGGGCAGAAGAGATTCGATGGCAGTTCAATCCCGCTTTGACTTTGACTGTCCAGGGCTACTACAACTGTCTGGCCCTGGATTCTTCGATACATGGTTTTACTGCGGACCTGCGGCTCTTCATCTCTCTCAAGGTATTTATCATGCCGCATCTCTCTCTCTCTCTCAAAAACAGGTGCCTATAGAAAACAATCATCCCTCATGCTCTAAGCTCTTGACACTTCCTCAAGAAGTCAAGGAAGCTCGGGGCCCTGGGATCAAGAACAATGCCATGGCAACAACCGAGATACTGAAACATCCGGAAGCATTCTTAAGCTCTTCAGTTCAGCAACTTTGAGTTTTATAGGTCAACTGCGGTGTTTCCTTGGCTTCATCATGCTTCATGTACCATCATCTACCCGAAATGTAAGAACACGAAGGGCTTCCAAGCAGTTGTTATTGCAGCCCAAGCGAGCGCGAGTGAGAGGCGCTGAATCGGGAATCCAATGCTCACCCCTAAATTAAACGATGAATTATTCGCCCACTGTCACTGCAACCTAGCAAAACATCCTCTCAAACCCTGAAGAAGCTGCCTTTGCTTTTCGACCACTTCCCCGACAATTGTAGACTTCCCAAGGCAAGCTAGCTCCAAAAAGGTTTATGTGCTTTTACTTGTGCTTTCTATTTTATGTGTTTATTTCTACGATAATGATTCGCTTGAGAATTGTGATTGTATTTTTGGTTCTCTAAATGATTCGATTATGATTTGCCTTTCTTAATCATTTTTGTTGTTTGGGACACCCGGAAGAGGGGTGTGTGGCTGTTGAAAAACAGCCAACACAAAGTCACTTCACTTAATGGTATATATTTATACAGTATACATATTTATACGTGCAGTTTATAGGTTTGCTACCTACGTTTGCTTCAGAGTGAAAAAGGCTGGAGCCTTCACCCCAAATGCGGCTTTTCTTGCAGGTCCGTCTTGTCGTCCAGTCCTGCAGCTGAGTTGCAACTTTCTCTGAACCTCCTCCGTCATTCGCGAAGCTGCGGCGTTGAGCACCTCTTGGCTTGGCTCATGGCCTCTGACCTTCTTGTGGGGTGGTGGATGAACTGGGCAATGCAAATTCGGTAAGCAGCTAGCATGCCAAGTTAGCTAGATATAATATTGTAAAATAGCATGGACATCAGCTTATTGAATAACTTCTCTGACATCAGAAATCTCATCATGAAGCGATAAGAACATGTATTAAGTGATATTAAGTGTACACTTACTTAATTTGTGACCGCGTTTTCAGGCAATAGGCGCTCATATACAGTCACTACCGTCACTACAGCCAGCAGTGTGAACCCCCCCATCGGACAGCCAATCTCCTCTGACAAAGCTTTGGAGATTGTTTCTCTCTTATGAATACCATTTAATACCACTCACGCAGACACTGGCTTTACCCCACTTTGCAAAGCTGAGGGAGATGGGTTCATTCGCTTCAAGCAGGGAGACACCGATTCTCCGAAGTGTCGGCACGTGCCGGTGCCCAAAATCCGAATCCTGTCCACCGAGGAGTCCAGAAAACCTCACGAGGAGTCCGAAAACCACTTGAGAAAACCCGGTGTTTCAGGACACCCTTGGCTTCACGGCAAGATACGGTAAGTCCATCCGCTGATTGGTATTGACAAGTCGTGCTGGTGCTGGTGTTGACTTGAGGCAATGTAGCTTGCTCCTTCCTGCCAAGGCAAATGGAGCTAGCAAGATGAACCAACCTCCAAGTGCTCCTCCAAATCGGTCTGATCAGCTGCTTCCAGCATCACCTTGGCATTCGGAGCTGTTCCCATCGGATCCCTTTTGGAATCTTGGAATTCCTGCTTTCAGTGCGGGAAGAGTTCTCAGAGTTCTGGGACCTCGAAGATCACAAAGGACTCACATCTCATTCATTCTCATTCCATCCTCGGGGTGGTTTTGGGTAGACCCAAATAAAATCACCCCAGCCTGTGGGGAATGTGCTTCAGGCGCACCATGTTGACCAACACGCACTCCGACTCCCAACAGGTTTTAATAATGCACTGCCCTGCTGGTGAAAAGAACGTCAAATGTTGAATACTGGACTGAGTACCCTTGCAAAAGATCCCGAACATAGCTTGTACCACCCAGGAACTTTGAGAGAACAAAAGTAGGAATGGCCCGAGGGTGTTGCAAGCCAAAGCACCCAGGCAATCTCCTGCAAGTCTACCTCTTCCTGGCATTCTCAAGGGAGCCCGATGACTGTGTTTATACAACACCAGCTAGGAACACTTCTCCAGCAGCAAGGACATGCAACGAGCTGATACATCGTTCAAACTATCGTTTGAGCAAGTGGTAGAAATGGACGGAAGGTGATTGAAAACACCTACACATGATTTATAATGTCTATAATCTTCAGCATTTCACACATGGACATTCAGATTTGCGAGCTGACTTATGACTGTGTTTATGACCCTGTTATGCCTGAAAAGGATTGCCACTGCATGCTTGCAGGATGTTCCCCATGCAAATGCACTTTATCCGGTTGTATCCGGTTGTACAATCCACCGTATTGTCTAGTCAAAGCCTTTTGTACCTGTATGCGACTCTGGGATGAGACCACGTCTGTGCGTGCAGCTGGAGGAAAGGTCTTTCTGCCAGCGTACGCTGAGATGTCTTCTGTTGGCATCCCAAAAGAAGCTGCCTAAAGGAATACTGTCACGTGCCTATCGACCAGATTGAGGTTACACATCGCCAGTTTTCTTCTGGTAAAGTATTTGTCTCATGAGTGATATCATGTTCTTCTTTCCTAGAGAATGCTCCCTGAAATTGTTCGGATCCAAGGGTGGATGAACAATATGATAAGAAACACAATATCTCGTAAGCCTACATTTATCACAGGTTCAGCTCTACCGTCATGTGAACAATTTGGATCAAGATTTGAAAATTGATGAAACTTCCAGTTTGACCTTCAGGAAAGGAAAGGAAACAATAAAGCAGTCTTTTTAGGAGGGCCGTCCTTTCAAAGGTATATGATTTCTAGGACACCCATGGCTTCCACGAGAGCGCAAAGGAACTTAAGGCCGTCATCCCAAGAAAGGAACTCTTGACTCCTCAGAAACCAAACTAACTAAGGGCTTTTACAAAGCAAAAGGCAGCGCACCCGGATGTGCTAGGAGTTTCATCAAGTGGCAGTTCACACAAAAGTGTGGCAGTCTTTTAATGGGATCTCCGCCAGGGACCGGTGGTTTGTTACGCGGCTTTCCATGTGCCAAGGATCGAAAAATCCAGCAGTTGTGTCAAGGAAGAAAATGGCGTCCCGTGTTCAGACGTGTTTTGACCCAAAGTCGAAAGGGTGTTGATGTGTGAACTACAGTCCCAACAAGGGGCCACTTCAACGAGTTCTTCAGCCTCCATGTCCACCAACAGCAACAAAAGCCTCTGCTTGGCCGAGCCAGATTGTGACGGGACAGAGGCGGAAGGTTTGACTCCCCAAAAAACGGGACTCCATTTGGCCACAAAAGCTGTACTCCAGACTTTCGGACATCGGACTGGACACGCCGTGCTGATGTGAAACAACCTGAAGAATGGGTTAAAGAGGATGTAATATGTAATTAAAGAGGAAATCGCCACCAAGCAGCTCGTTTCGCTATGCTCCTGCTGTTTAGCCATTGACTGGAAACACTGGCCTGTGATGTTCCTAATTTCAGCAGCAACTGGGCTTGTGAAGCGGCCTGGACTTTGCAGACTTGTCCCAATTCGCACACTCCGGTCATCCAAAGATTCAGGAAAAGAAGGACAGGACAGGAACTTCCCGTGGAACTGTGCAGATCCTTTGTGGAACCACGGAAACTGTGGCCTTCAATTTCGAATCAACTCTTGGTAGAAAAAGAGATCTTTGCAAGACATCAGACCTTTCCTTCTCAATTTGATGTCGTTCAGTGATTAGAAAGAAA